AGTGTCCCGATCGGAGTGGGAATAATAATAATCATAATCCGTGCATTTTATCCATTAATTTCCCCAACATTGTGGTAAAAAAAACACACGTTTAATCCATGTTGGTGTACTACAACTACAAAAAGCATCGGTTTGTTTTCTCATCAGGAAATGCAGACCGGCTCAAACAAACGATTTTTAAATCATCTTCCTCACGATCATTTAATGTATCATGTTCGCCGAATTGACATGAAAGCACTAATAAAGTAGTTCATCCACTTGAGTTTACAACTACAAAAATAATCGAGGAAATTCAGCAGCTCTCACTACCGATTTTTAATCCTAATTTAATCATCATCTTCACCACGATCATTTATGTTTATGTTCGCCGAATTGACATGAAAGCACTGACAAATATGAATATACTGTAGTCAACTTCATTAAAACGTTATTAACGTGCCTAAACTCAGTAATTCACCATTTCTACGCATGACAACACACTTTGTCCGTGTTTGGTTCTCTCGCCGCACAGTGAAGCGTTCCCGCATTGACGTCACTTCCGGCTTCCCCCAAAACTTCAAAATGATTCGAAGGAATTTCCCCGCGATGTTCGAAATTATTGATATTTATCGGAACGGTATCGCACCTTCTTTTTTAAACTGACGGTTCGAGATCACTAGTAGCCCAATATGTCATTGCACAACAGTTGTTGGGATGCTGTCACAGGCTCTTTAAACTGTCGCACTTTCTGTTGTTTCTATCGCGCATTGCCGGTATGAAAGGGTCTGTGCCGGAAATATCAAACATTTAATAAAAGTGAAAAAAGATGAACAAGACTTAACGTATTAATAATAATTAATTATATTTATTCCGTTTGGATGTAGGATTTTTGACTTTGTTTAGAGCAGTGATCTTCAGCAGAGAGCTAAGCGCTGTCAGACCGGACCTAACCCTGAAAAGTATTATCATCTGAAATTAATCATTATGTTATTCATATTAAATACATATTGTATTTTTACAACTACAACAGCTGCCATAGCGCGTACCAGAGTAGCTGTTGACTGTAGCAAGATGGCGGCCGGTGAGCTACGCTGGAAAATCTCCCGTGAGCCATCTAGTGTTTATATCTATGATTGGGACGCTACTCAAGATTGCGCAGACAAATCAACTTCCGGTGAGACCGAAGAGCGATGTACAGCAATGTACAGACGAATCAGATGATTAAAGATGATCTTAAAATATATATATATTTTTTTTTTGCATTTTGTTGTAATCATTATTTTTAATACTTTCTGCTGACACTAGGTGGGGCTGTGCCCCACCTGCCCCTAATGACCAGTCGCCACTGGCTGTTAGCTATTAGCTCTAGGTCTTGCTGTGCCTCAGCTCACAGAGCTGCTAGCATGCTGTAGCTTTAGACTCTTGGCTGCTTCAAACAGCATGCCTTTTCACTTCAGTAATTAATGTAGCTGCCTGTACAAAGTACTGTTGAATGCACTATGCTTACAAATACAAACTTTTTGAACCCTCGGGTCTGGGTCAGGAGGATAGCCAGAAAAGTATGCTGCTCACTGCTAAATGCTACCAGATGCAGTATGACATCCTGCTATTTTTGGCATGCTGCATTTGACAATTAGCCTACCATGTATTGACACATATAGTTGTAATATGATTATTGGAACGCACCTTAACGTAATGTAATCTACCTTAATTTTTCTTTATAATCTGTCAGATCCTCAGAGGTCAGAGTGGGTATTGATGAACTGCTGGATGTCACTGTCTTCATGGAGAACAGTGGGGAAAACTCTTATAACAGCCGCGTCATTCTCACATACCCACCTGGACTCTCTTATAGGAAGTTTACAATTCTGCAGGTAAGGCATCAAATCAAATCTGCTTCATTTAATCTCCAGTCATCCCATTCTCACTTAATTTTGCGATTTTCTTCAATTCTTTTGAACTACAGGGAAGAATTGAGTGCAACTCCTTGGACACTGAAGACGGTTTAATGCGAGGAAGAACAGACTGCACAGTTGACAAGCCTATTTTGAAGAGCAATGCTAAGGTTTGTCTTTTGCACCGAGTGTTGTACTGCTACAGACACAGAATAGCCTATCTGATCTTAATTCATGTCATTTCAGGTCCTATTCATCGTCTCCTATGGGGTTGAAACCAATAGTCAACTTGAAAGGAGGATTTTTGTTTCTGCAAATGCTACCAGGTACTGCTAAGCAACATGCATTATAAGCACACCAACAGGCACGTGTGCATTAGTGCTTTTATCATTTGTACACATATATTTTTCTCTTTCTCTAGTGGGAATAATCAGCACTCCAACTCAAGTGAACTGTACCAAAAGAAAGAGATCAATGTGAAGTACAGCATTTTTGCTACAATTGAAAGGTTTGTGTTGTTTTATGTGAAACTAAAGATATTATTAAAAAAACTGGCATTTTAGTACCTAATATCTATCAAATGTTTAATACGTCTGTTTAGTTCCCTCAGCTACAACAACTTCTCTCATGGAAAGAATAATTTGCAGAAACCATTGCTGCAATCAATTGTGGTAAAAATATGTTATAATAATACAAGTTATCTATTTGAAATCATAAACTTTAGTCCAGACTTTACCTTAATGCTCATCACAATGATTTGATGCCTACCATGTTTTCTATTCTGCTCTTCTTTCAGGTTACAAATGATTTCAGAGCGCTGAATCTCACTGTGGTGATCAGGGTGCCGGTGAAGCTCGGAGATAAAGACATCTGGGTGGATTCAGGCAGTTTGCAGGTAACACGGAAACTGCTTGTCCTTGAACCCCCAAATATCTATCAAAAATAGATTATTTTATACAATACAATAATACTTTAACAGATCAAGTCTGAAATTTGACTTGCATCACAGCAGCTCCATTTGCTAAATCTACATGGACAAATATCAATAATGCAACTAATGCACCATAAATCGGCTCCATTTCAGATTCCAGACTGCCAAAGACACAGCGATGAAAAACCCACTGTCACAGATTTTGTTGCAGAGATAAAGAAAAATAAGTTGGTGGTAAGTATGTGCTTTATGAGTAATTGCAACGTTTTAGATTGATATAACTATTATGGTTTCATTCCACTGGAGTGTGCAGGCCTGAACACAGCTTTCTCTGCTCTCTGTTTTATTTTAATGACCCACAGGACTGCTCAGTGGCCAGCTGCAGAGTGTTCAAGTGCAGTCACTTCATTGGAAGACTGAACAGCCAAACGTACTACATTTCTGCAAACCTTAGTTCGGCATGGATAGAGCAGGTAATAATTTGAATGTAATGTAATGTGAATAATAATAAACTAACTGACTTGTTTATTTCACGTGCTGCATTTGAAACATCTTATAGTTTCACATCTGACCAGGTATAAAAGAGGATTACTAAAAGCAGATAATTATACATTTAAAAAAGTATTTTATTTATTGTTTACTTGACGTTATGAAATGAATATGAACTAAGTGATTGCTTCACTATTGACGTTTTTTGAGACTGTTACAAATGCTTTTAAATTACCAAAGAAATTAAACTAATGTACTGTGTATAACTCAAATACGCTGTAGTAAAAATAATTGTGTATATAAAGATAGTTTACTTTACGTCAAAATATAATTAGGGTTGTGCAAATAAGCTCATAAGCCATCTTGGCGGTGCATGTCTCTCAATTCCTAATACTGTGTTATATTAATATATACAAAAAACCTTCCATATATTGTATGTATGAAAATATTCAAAATGTAAAACCGACAACTTCATTACTGAACCGCATTTTTTACAGGAACGATTGTCCCAAACGATTTGATCCACATTTAATTACTGTTGCTGGCTAAACTGAGGTAAAATTATTCCACAATCAGTATTTTACTAACCAATGTTTCCCCCTAAACAGATCGGACTTAAATCTGCCAAATTCCTCTTGACCAGCACAGCCATGTTGGAGTACGACAGAAACCAGTACATCTTCTTTACGTCGGGCTCCAACAACAACCCTCCTGTTCGCAAGGTGACTACACGTTTTATCTTTTAAAATGATGTGTGTTTTAAACAAGCTTGAATTGAACCGACTTTTCCCCTCTCAGATTGAGGCAGAGGTAGAAGTGTATCCTGAGCCAGACTTCACCAAAGAGATTGTGGGAGGATCCCTGGGAGGACTGGCTCTACTGGCCTTACTCACCGCTGGCCTGTATAAGGTGAGACCCTGAACATAGTTTCACATTATTATGTAACAAGGCCATTTTGAGTTGTGGTATTATTTTAAATACGCACATTTAAAAACGAATCTTAGAACAGCAAACTCCCTTGAAATGTTTAAAAGCAAATTAAAAACCTATCTTTTTAATATGGCTTTTCATTTGGGTTAGCTTTCAATTGTTTCATTTTAACATATTATTACTGTAGATGTTTTATCTTGTTCTGTATTCATTTTAATATTGTTATGTTTTCTGTAAAGCACTTTGGGGCTGCTTTGTGCATGAAAGGTGCTATGCAAATAAAGTGTATTATCTGTTCATTCATTTATATTGCATCTTTTTATGTAACGTTATTTGTTTCGTACTTTCAGGCTGGATTTTTCAAGAGCAAATACAATCAGATGATTAACGAGGATGCAGCAGATCCTGGGGTCGAAGGAGGCGCACCCGCACCAGAATAAGAAATATATCATCAGTGAATGTCCCACAGAGACCCACTGTTTTAGTTCTAATACATTCTTAATATTGAGCTTGCTGGTTGCAGCTGACCGCAACAAAACCAAACTGTTTCAACATGTATAATGATAAATGGGATTTATATAGCGCTTTTCTAGACCCAAAGACGCTTTACATTACGAGTAAGGTCGACAAACAAAACAAGAACAAAAACACAAACAAAAACAAAACAAAAACAGAAAATCAGTCAGGAGGATGTTGGTTCAGAGGGGGGAGGGGCGGGTTTAAGGATAAGCAGAGTTGAAGAGGTGGGTTTTGAGACGGGACTGGAACAGGGTGAGGGAATCAGACTCACGGAGGTCTTGGGGGAGGGAGTTCCAGAGCTTCGGGGCTGCCACAGAGAAGGCTCTGTCCCCGAAGCTCCGGAGTTTGGCCCTGGGGATTGAAAGCAAACCGGCTGAGGTGGATCTGAGGGACCGGGGTGGTTGGTAGAGGATGAGGAGGTCAGTGAGGTAGGGGGGGGCCAGATGGTGGAGGGCTTTATAGGTGAGGACCAGGAGTTTGTAGTGAATGCGGTGTGAGACGGGGAGCCAGTGGAGTACTTTGAGGACCGGGGTGATGTGATGCCATGATTTGGTGTGGGTGAGGAGTCTGGCGGCTGCGTTCTGGACACGCTGGAGTCTGTTGAGGGATGTTGTGCTG